ATACTTAGACCACGAGGTCTACAAGGGGCACGACCCCATATATAAAAAAAATCTTGAGAGCCTGATCCCCTCCTCAAGTACATCACGCAGAAAGCTATATGTAAACACATACAAGCAACGCGTCAAAACATTGAAAATGTCGAAAAATAACAACTCCCACGAGGAGAATACTAGCTCCGTGCTACTACATTATCGTGAGACAACTTCCACGAAGACGTAACTCGATCAACTCGATTACCCCAGAGACAACTCCCACGAGGAGATTACTTGATCCGTGCTACTACATTATCGCGAGACAACTCCCACGAGGAGATAACTCGATCAACACTATTACCCCGCGACAAGATAGCTCCCACGAGGAGATAAATCGCTACTACATCGTCGCGGGACAAAACCGACGACTCGATTAATTTATATTGCGGCAACTTTGTCGCGCTATGCGCCAACGCGCATTCACACCCCTCCGACACACGCTCCAACGCGTTTTCGCATACCATTAGGCCATACGCCAATGATCGACTTCTCCAATTTTTACTCTCGACACGATTTGAGACCCATCACAACATGGCCCCCACATCGACTCGAGAGTGGGGGGCTTAATGATATGCCTAATTGGGCCAACCCAATGGGCCTACAATTTCTTTACCTACTGGGCTACGAGTCCAATATCGAAGACTAATATCACCGAGGCCCAAACACCTTCAAATAAGGCTTGGGCCCAACAAAGCAAACCCAACCCAATAAACGACATATAAATAGAGGTTTTCCTCATTTTATTAAGGTACGTCCTATTAACTGAGCAATACAAAAACGCGTATTCTCTGGACTATTTCTATGATCAGCACGTCTGACTTGAGCGTCGGAGGGGTTTCCGCCGGATCAACCCCCGGCTTAGTTCATGTGTTCTATGATCGCAGGTACCTCAGGATCATCAAGTTGTCAAGCTACTGATCTGCTTTGCTCTCCCAGTTCATTTTCTACACTACCCCAGGTGATCTAAGTAATTAGCATCATCAAATACATATGTATGTTATTGGTCATTAGTTGAGTTAAAATAAAGACAGGACAATTGTATGAAGCAAACTTAAAAAATAATAGGCTAAATACCAATTACATAAAGAACACGAATCAAATTAATAATTACAACATTATTGCAGTACTCGAAGCATTACTGGCGATGTGTAGACCGACCAACACACAATCCAGATCTGCCCAACATCAAACTCGGCTTTGCGTGCGAGACCGCCGATTGGTACGATATTTTGTTATCGTCTACCCACGCACATACATGGATCTTTCTTATGGTTAATATTTTTATTGTGAAATACACATATACATATTTTTTAGTAAATGCACTTCATATGAACGATCTTGGTTGAGTCATTGGAACCAATATAGTTCAAATATAAACTCATTATCACCATTAATTGGTATTTTGTTAGACTATAGATAAAAGAAAATTCATTACTTTGGTTTTTAATTTGTTGAAACTAATTAAACGAGAAAACCCTAATAAATCGGACCATATAATTTGAGTCTTTGAATATACAATACACAGTTTTAAATATGATTAGCTAAAAGCTAAAGATCTACTCATAATTATTGTAAAAAATAATTGCACAAATGATTATTTGATTTGCGCGATAATTGAGGTAGGAAATCAATAATTTTTTTTTTATACCGAAATTAAGGTAGTAAATCAGCCCAAAAAATCAATATCAAATCAGTTTTGTCTTCGCATGTGAGCAACGTAAAAAACAATATGCAAAATATCCGGACATTTTTGATACTTTATTAGTCAGTATGTTCCTAATTTATTTATTAGAATTATTTATTTTCCCAGTAATTAATCGGTAAATTAATAACATTTGCCAGGGATTTATATATTAATCTATGGTGTTTATGGTAATAATAATTAAAAACCTTGACATTTTGAATACTAAACTGAAATGTTGAACTCTAAAAAAAACTGAAATGTTCAAATGAATACAAAATAACCAATGTACTGGTTCATAATAGCTGATTTTGTGGACGAAGCATTTGTAAACACTTCAAAATAGATTATGAGCAAAAAAATTCATAATCTATTTGTAAACACCACTTTCAAAATACGCATTTGTCGTTTGTATTATTGATATATATATATATATATATATATATATATATATATATATATATATATATATATATATATATATATATATATATATATATATATATATATATATATATATATATATATATATATATATATATTTAATATAAGGAATTTTGTGAGATATATTCATAATTTATATAGATAATTGATTTTTAGATATATATAGACAATAGGATTATTTCTTTTCTCCCCAGATAAAAGAGATAAAGATCATTTATTTATTGGGCAATAAAATTATTTCCTCTCTCCCCAGTTATAAGAGATATATATCTATTTATATCGGGCCAATCAAATCGCGCCACATCATCAGTAAGGCCCATAAAGGACTCTTATTCTCCCACTGTAAATAGGGATCCCCCCCTCACAAAAAAACACAACTGAGGGAGCATAAACCGTGGGAGCAAAACTCTCTCTACAATTCAAGAAGCAAGGAAGAAGAATTCGCGGGAGGTGAGACTCTCTCTCTACATTCAAAGTGCTCTTCGTCAAATTCGAGGTGTGCGCGAGCAAATTCAAGGCATTCTTCATCAAATCTAGCGCTCGATCCGATAACGGCGCCACACCCTCGGATTAACGTTAATCTACTCGAGATCATTGGGAGAGTGAGGGGACACATCCCTCGCGCATTTCGAGATCTTCGAGTCAAATTTAGTCAGAGTTCAACGCTCACTCCGAGATTCTTGTCGCAAGAACCCTTGGAAACGTCTCTCATATCCAAAATCAAATCGGGAGAAGATCGAGTCACCGACCCCCCTCCGAAAATTCTCGTTCGCTCCCACATTGGAGGCGGAAGACCCTTGCACAACGTTTTTCAAATCCAAAATCAAATCGGGAAGAAAACAAGTCCCACACCCCCCCCCCCAAAAATCACGTCCCCTAT